TCGTGCGCCGCCCGTTGGGGGCGCTGCTGGGCGGGGGGGTTCGCTGAGGGCGCGCGCCCGCCTGTGGCGATCTGATCTGTGGCGAGCTGTAGCCACCTGTGGTCCGGCCTCCTCCTCCTCCTCCTCCTCCTCACCGAGCCGCCGCCCCGCGGCACCCGGTCACTCGTCAGTACGGCCCCCTCAGCTTTCAGCCCCTACTGCGGCAGTGGTAGGCCAGTGCGCGGTTGAGGACAGCAGGGTGCACGTGCCGGCCTCAGCGAGCGGTAAGCTGGAGGAGATCGCTCTCCGGTCTGGGAATTGTTGCTGGCCGCTTCCCTAGTCCCCCAGCATCCCCCCCCAGCATCCGGCACCTACTCTCCAAAAGGCCCCTAAATCCATCGAGGGGGCTCACCTGGAATAGGCTTGGGGTATTTGGTGCTGCCGGCTTCTGCTGGGGGGGGGCGTAGGAGGAGGATCACAGCTGGCAGGGTCTGGGAGAGGTTGGAAGTATGAGCGTCCCCTTCCCATCCAAGTTTCTGGGGAGACTTTATAGCAGCCTTCCAGTACCTGAAGGGAGCCTACTGGAGAGATGGGGAAGGACTTTTTGTGAGGAAGTGTAGTGACAGGACAAGGGGTGATGGTTTTAAATTGGAAGAGGGGAGATTTAGATTAGATACCAGGAAGAAATTCTTTCCTGTGAGGGGGGTGAGGCACTGGAACAGGTTGCCCAGAGAAGCTGTGGCTGCCCCATCCCTGGAGGGGTTCAAGGCCAGGCTGGATGGGGCTTTGAGCAACCTGGTCTGGTGGGAGGTGTCCCTGCCCAGGGCAGGGGGGTTGGAACTCAATGATCTTTAAGGTCCCTTCCAACTCTAACCATTCAATGATTTAATCCTTGCTGTCTTTCCAAATGAAATGTGGTAGGAAATGTATTTGTGTAACTTGCAAGCTTGTAACTTGCAAGCTATGCACAGGAACATCAAATGCTCTCCTTCCAGAGCAGATGGCTGGAATCTGGACAAGATGAGTGCATGCAAAACTTGTGCAGGAATGAAAATAAGCTTCATTTCTCCCATATTACACTATTGCACCTGCCTGAATCATTAAAAGGTGACCATGACCATGCATCCAATGGACCTCTGTTCTTAGTGGCCATGAGTGTTTTCTAAGGCTTGCTGCTGTTTGCATGATTGATTCTGCCAATAGTGCAGGAATTTTGATAGAACATCCTTTTAGGAAAATAAGTGTTTCGAAAGACGAAAGCACCAGGAGCACTGCCAGGGTAGTGAATGTTTGATAGTGTGAAACCTCACAGTGTGGCCACATGATGGCATCATAATCTTAAGAACTGAAGAGAACTGTGTGCACAAGTCTACTATAATTGTTAGAGGTTGGCTCTTCAATCACTAGGGCGGATCCTAAACACGCTAAAAACTTTTGTATGCTTATTTATTTTAAAAAAAACTTAAAATTAATCTTCTAGGATCAGAGTGAATTGTGTGACATGGTGCTCTTCCCATCGGTAAAAATAAATGAAAACAAATGTAATTGCAATCAAAATAGCATATTTATTAATAGATTATTAGTGACAAGCAGTTAAGAACACTGGAGTTATCATGATGTCCCTCTGTTATTTGATGATGCTGGTTCTTAGTCCACTTGTAAAAACTTGAATTTGTCCTGGCTGCTCTTTCAGCATTGTAGCAACCTGTTATGAAGATTAATTTATCTTCCTTTTTAATTCTTCTGGGCTATTCTAAAAAAAAAAGAGAAAAAAAAAAAAGAGGAGCAAAGGGAGAAAGAATCAAGAAGCCTAGCACACAAAAGTTAGGCAACTTTCATGGACTGTATAATACAAATATTATTACAATCTATTGGCAGAGCCCTTAATTGAATGCACCAGCAGTGCTACCACGTACTGTGTTTTCTATTTCTACTTGATAACAGTTGAGTACAGTAGCTGACATCTGGCATGTTCTCATTCACTGAAGTGTGTTTACTTCTTGGTGAAGTGACAGAAATTCTTGGTAAGCCGTTCATCCACTGGGCCACCAGTCTCTAAGTTCCACCTCTTCCCTGCCGCTTGGCACTTGGAAAGATCCATGCTTTAGAAGAGAACACTGCAAAGGATTGGGGCTGCTTTTTGACATGCCTCTCAGAAAGCTTGACAATGTGGTCATGCATGTTTCATTGTGGTACTTTGCTTCTGCAGGGCTGGCCAAGATACATACCGTGGTGTCTGGCATCAAAGCCCTTCGGAGAAAGTAACTCAGGTGCCTTAGGGGCCAAATGAAAGTTCTTGTCAAGATCAGAATAAAATATAAAAATATTTTCATAAATGTATTCTAGAAGGAAAAAAAGAGAAGCCGATCTAGAAGTTAATGCATGTAGCTTCCTATCTCTTTAAAAAAATAAATGCATATATTTGTCATTTTATGCAGAAATTACTCAATTTCTGCTTATACTGATATAGTTACTTGTTTTTAAAGCATATACAAAGTCCAGAAAGTAACTGATGCACAGGGTCTTAAAAAAGAGTATGCAGCTGAAAATCTTTTCAATTAGAAAGTGTAGTATACTTTTGTTATACTTCCCAGTATACTACTGGGTGTAGTCCAAAAGTGGTGCTTAATATGACAAAATGGAATAATTTAAAACAAGTCGTTTGATAAGCAAAGATTTCCCTATTTCACTTCCTGCTTTCACAAGCACTTGGCAATGTAAAAATCTCTTTGGGGCTGTTTGAAACATTCACTTCTTTGAAAATATTATTTAGAAGGCTATCTAGAGGAGTTGGGAAACAGAAATTGTCCTGCTAGATAAGAACAGCAATCAAAGTATTCACTTTTAATTTCCTGTTCCCAGAGTTGTGTAAAACCACATATCTTAGGGAAAGTATATGAAGTGCTAGAAAGGACAGCTTGGCCTAAATCAATTAATAGTGTGATTATGGTATGATCTTAAGCACGTATCCCCATATTTATTTCATCTTTTCTTTGTGTTCAAATGCTTTGCAGGATCTGACCTTTAAGGGGAAGCCCAGTCATATTTGACCATTTGACTAATTGTGGAAGCTTTTGCTTTCTGTAGAACTCCTAAGTGACAAAAAAACCCCGACATCGTTATAACCCGCAAATGATACCTGCTTCTAAATCAAAAAAAAGAGATGCTCTGTGCCCTTGACTCTGTAGAACTCCTAAATGACAAAAAAACCCAACATCATTATAACCCACAAATGATACCTGCTTCTAAAACAAAAAAGAGATGCTCTGTGCCCTTGACTCTGTAGAACAGTGAATATGTTTACTTATTCATATATTTTGATAAGTTAAATGTCTATAGCATATGCTTATCTCTAAAAACATCTGGGTCGGCCCTTTTCAGAAATCCTTTTCACACCTCTAAGGCTGGTTGTGGTTTTGCAGCCATTACAGCTGCATTCATTTCATATTTTAACATATAGACATTTTTTACATAGGCTAGAAAAATGGCAAGCAAAATCACTGCGTTAAAAAGCTAAAACCCTGTTGACTCATCCACATTTGATTTAACCTGGTTAAAGCTCTGTGTGCAATACTTTATTTTTAAAACATTGATTTTCTGATCAATGATGGTTTGTTATATTAGCTTTGTAGTATGGATGGCATATAAAACAGCAGTTGATTAAAAGAGAGCCTTCTGAAATACCAAACTTTCAAGTCACTTAGGTGTCAACACCTGATAGTTAAAATTTTATGAGAAAGATCCAAGAGCTTGATACTCGACCATATGCAAAGGGAAATGCAGGTTGAAATGTATAAATGTATAAAATTTCTAAATGTACAAAATTTTACCATTCCACTTCAAAGGATTCTGTATCACAGACCTCGGTAATTGAGTATTATTTACAGAGATACACAAGCAGACTAGTCAAAGATGTGACTGAGACTGAGTTTAAATGAGTGAGATATCTTGTGTAAGGTACAGTCAAGAAATGTTTCCAAAGAATGAGTGTCAATTTCTAACCTCTAGTTCACTTCAAAAAATTGGTTGATGAGCCTACTAGTTTTGGCTCTCAGCATTTGTGTTGGTTTGGGCCCTATAGTACAAAATCATGCTTTTACCTTCACAAAAAAAGAGAACACTTTTTTTCCCATGTTAGCATATCTAGGTAGCTAGTTTGATACATCCTTTTCATTTCTGAACAAATACCCAAATGTATCAGCAAATGTAAGCTTTGGTAAACATGTGCTCTGTGAACTTCTGCAGCTGCCTTTGAGCCAGTATCCAGGACAGATTCTGGAGACTTTCATCACAGACTTGATTTCACAAAAGTCAATTCCACTTTTTCGTTAGACACAATTTACAATGCAGCAGAAACTTCTTGTTCTCCAGTAGATTGTGTGTAGGTGGAGCTAGCCCGTTCAGCTGTGTCAACATAGAAAACAGGGCAATATTTAGAGAAGTGGAATGCAATCTGCTTTCGGAAAAAGCTTTGAAGATACTTTCTAAATTTTTCTCCAGCGAAGGCATAAATTATAGGGTTGATACAACAGTGGATCATTGAGATTGTTTCTGTCACTTGGGTTGCTTTGTGCAGTTGACCATTACCTTCACAAGTAGTGATGGAAAATATACCTTGAAAATCACGCAAGAGAATGCAAATGTTATATGGTGCCCAGAACAAAAAGTAGACAATCATGATGATAAAAATGAGCCTGACTGCTTTATGTTTCTTCTCATTCCGACATTGCAGTAATGTCTTTATAATTTGTGTGTAGCTGCAAATCATGATTAACATTGGAATAATAAGTCCTAGGATGTTCATCTTTAAGGTCAGGAATTGCTTCCATACATTTCTCTCCTCCGATGGATAATGAGCACTGCAAGTATAACGTGTACTTTCCTTTTGAGTTTTGTGAAACACCATGCCAGGAACAGAAGCCAAAATAGCAACAGCCCAAGTGACAGCGCTGGTGAGGATGCCATAGGTAACTGTCCTAGCTTTTAAAGCAAACACCGCATGCACTATGGCCAGGTACCTGTCGAGGGTCAACAGGATTATGAAGAAGATGCCACTGTAGAAGCCAAGGAGGTAGACACCTGAGAGAATCCTGCACAGTGCCTCCCCAAAAATCCAGTCATGAACAGCATAATAAGCCCAAAAAGGGAGAGAAAATATAAACAGCAAATCAGAAATTGCCAAATTGAGCAGGTAGATGTCAGTCATACTCTTCAGTTTCTTGTATTTTACCAGGATAAGGACAACGAGCATGTTGCCTATGAAGCCAAATATCACCACCAAAGAGTAAAGCGGGGGCAAAAGTTTTGCTGCAAAGTGCTTCTCCTCAGTGCCTGGGCATGGTGTTGAATCACTGTACTCAAATTCTGTCGTCACTGGCCAGTCATCCAAGTCTATGGTTTGGTTTTCCATGGTGTGTTAGTCTGGGAAGAAAGAAACGAATATTAAACTAGAGGAAACACCAAGCCTGGCAGGGAGGGGAATGAAACACACTAATGTCCTCATCTGGAATGCTTTTTGCTGTTGAGCACGTCAGCATTACTGCATCAAGATACGGAAGCAAAATGAACTTGCGGAGCTCCCAGGAAACCCCTCTTTATGCCTGTGAGGTCACGCTGCTGCAGGTTGGAGGTGCACCGCGTGTCATTCCCTATGTGTAGCCTGCCTGGTGCATTTTTCCTCCTCAGTAGAGCCTGCCAGCTGCCTGACCCAACCGGGAGCAGAGGAAAGATGAATTGAACCTGAGCAGTGGGTAGTTTGGGGCTGTTGAGCTCAACCATGGCTTTCCCAAGGGGTGGAGAAAGGCAGCAACAGGCACGCAGAGCATAGCCATGCTTCTCTGCTTGGGACCTGGCCACCTTCTCATGGTGCCAGCCTGTACTGTAGCCCTTGTCCAAGGAGGACCAAGCACTGGCAAGGTGTCAACCATGTACCTACAAAGGCTTCTGAGATGAGTAAAACAGTTACTGAGTGCCACGTGTTTAGGTTGTTGATTTCCTGGGAGCCTTAAATCCTGGGAATAAGGTCACTGGAGGTGTAGAAATGACCTTTGCACAGTACTAAACATACCTGCCTGGTGGACCTCCACTCCTGGGCGTTGCAGAGCAGGAAGCCAGCAGCGTTGGTCTGGGTTAAAATGGCAAGCGCTGTGTCCTTCACAGAGTCTGTGTCATGCACAGGCCATGGAAGTGTGCTGGTCTTGGGTAGGTCTGGAATGAAAACGGTTCACAGTCCTGTAGAGAGAACAGAAAGGCAAACACCTTGGCAAATGGCATAAAAGATGACAGTTGCTCTCAGGGTGGCCTAGGACACCTGTGTCTGTTGTGGCATCTTCCTGACGATTGAAAGACCTCCCCAGTGCTTGGGGATGAAAGAAGTTTTGATTCCTTGTTTCAGTAGCTGTTTATCAGCCGTGATTCAGGAACTCGAAAGTTCAGATTGGCTCAGTGTCTTGGAGGGGACACAAAGGCAAAAGGCAAATACGGCCATCGCTAGGAGTGTGCACTAACAGTTCTTCATCTGCTGTGGTTGTTTGATTCTGTCTGCCGTCCCCTCCTCTATAAGCCAGTGTTTCCAGTGAGGTGACAGAGGAATTGAAGAAGTGCAAGAGTTGCCCAAACTCCCTGTCCCTCCCGTTTTGTTTTGGGGACTGTTGGAGGGAGCGGGCTTCTCTTGTACAAAGGAGTCACAGCCTGGGAGCTAAGTGTGCAGCAGAGCGTTGAAAGGCCTCAGGCAAGCTTTGTTGGAGTGGGAGCAGATAGAGGCTTGTGACTTTGCTGTCAGCCCTTCCTGTTGCCAGACCCTTCCCTACGTCCCTGGTAGGACCGTGAGCCAGATGCAGAAGCATAGGTTTGTGCAATTTGGTCTGTGAAAAGTTGAGGAGACCCGTCTCCTCAGAAACCCCTGGGAAAAATGGAACAATTCCTACATGTCCTGTGGGTAGCCAGGAAGAGGATTTTGTGGAGACATGTGTCAGAGGGACCAAGTGTGCTTCCCGGTCACTTAATGGGAAGTGAAATGGATAAGTTTGGTAGCCACTCAGAGCTCTTTGCTGTCTGGTACAAGGGCCGCTCTGTCTTCCTGTGTTATCATGAGTGCTTTTGTCAGGCACTTCATGCGAGGTGGGTGGCCATTCCTAGCAGGCTGATGGTTTTGAAATCTGCGTTTTGCTGGCCACTTGATGCCTGTTGTCTAGACAAAGGCAACAGACTGCCCCAGCTTCCTCTGTGATCCCTGACCACTCCCAGTAGTGCAGCAATGGTTGCTCCTTTCCTGCTTACAGCCCCGCCGTGCCCTTTTTTCAATGGGCATTTGTATGATTGCAGCCGTCTTTTGCAGAGACCACATTCTCAAAACCACCACTTCATTCTCTCTGCACTTGATTTCTGTAAATGTAGCTGAAGAAACTCAGCCCATGCCTGGACTGACACAGGGACAGGTTTTTTGGTAGAGGCTCATAGTGGCCATTCTGAGCCTGTGATATCCCTGAAGTGTCTCTTTTTGTCTCAAAAAACATTTATTTGACAAAAGTGTTTGGTGAAAGGACTTTTTAGGTAAACCTAATCTGAGGTCTTAGGGAAGGGACCGGGTCCTAGGTCTCTGAACAATTTTTAGGGACTCAAAATGAGGATCTCTCCTGAGCAGCCAGCTCCTGATGGAGATGCTTATGCTGCACAGTGTAGATATGAATCTGCCGCAAAAGGAGCAATCTTTATTGGAGCAAAATATGCACCTTGTAAACAGGAAGAGGGTTTGCTTTTGCAACATATTTTCCCAATCATTCCCCAAGTTCTTCCTGAATTTAGCTGTCTATCCTGCTCCTAATATCAAAAATGTGAACATCCATGTTCAGGCATTACTTCAGCATGTTGAGTATGGCATTAAGTTTTCTTTTGGAAAACAAGAAATAACAAAAAATTGGCAGGTTTTAACAGTTTGGGTCTCATCTTTGTCTAGATACAATTTCTTGGGAAGAAATTAAGTGCTGTCAAATTCCTCAAAGGCCAACTTTCAGGAAGCTCTGTCATATAGTTATTACAATACTGAGCTGAGATTATGAGGTTTTTTGGTAAGGGAAGTGGCTGTGACTCAGGTATATTGGCACTAAATAAGTTGATTCTAAGGCATCTAAAGGTTTATATTTCTTTAAGCAACTCTTTTAGACAAAAAAGGACCTTTACAAAACACTGTTTGGTCAAAAACATTAATTTATTTTTTTCAAAACATGACAAGACTTGGGCATTACGCAAGTATTTAATATTGCCTTTAGCTAGGTCTGCTAGATCTATGTTGCATGCCTGACAGTACAAGTTTCTGGTACTGCAGATCTAGCTAAATATCCCTGTTCCTGGTGTGTCAGTCAGCCGTGCTGTGTACTGGGATGATGGGATGAGGAAATGGCTGCAACACAGTGCCAGACCCAGCACGTCCTGTCTTGATCATTTTGCACCTGTGTGATACTCATGCATAAAGGTGGGTATGAAAAACACCTGGCCCATAAACTCAGAGTGGGATTTTATGAGTATATGATTGATAGTATTCATGCAAATATTGTTTCTGTCATGGTTTGGGCTGGTTTGGCCACTAAAATGAACAACAGATGCTCTCCTTCACTTCTCTCCTCTTCAGAGAAGGGAAAGCATCTCCCTTCCGGGAGAGAAGGATGAGAAAGAAAGAGAGTTATGAGTTTAAAACAAACTAAAGTACTTGTATGAAATATTAATAATAAAATAATAAAAGGAAAATATAATCATATCAAAAAAGAAAATAATGAAATATATACAACATATACAAAACCAGTATCAATCTCCCAGGATGACAGTCACATCACTGGCAGGCACTGGGAAAGTTCCAGACTGGACTCAGCAACAGAAGGGAGCTGCAGGAACTAGAGTCAGGAATGTACAGATCAGGATCAAAGGCAGACAAGCAGACAGGGTCCTCCTCAGACACCAGTGACTGAAGAAAGAAGCTGACCCTTTGATCCCTCAACAGTGACTGAAGAAAGAAGCTGAACCTTTGATCCCTCAGCTTTCATACTGTGCATGATGCAGATGGGATGGAATACCTTGTTGGTCAGGTTTGGGTCACCTGTCCTGTCCACTCCTCCCCACAGGTGGGACCCCTCTATGCTTTTTCACTTCTGACCCTCCAGTGGGGCAAATAATAACGTTAGCTGGCCTTGCTTGTTACAGCAGTAAGTATGAGCAAGAGCCTCTCCGCATGCCATTCCTTGGTATAAATGATAAACAATCAGGTCTTACCACTCTGGAAGCAGATAGTGTCGGAAAAATATGCTGTTAATTTCAGAGAGTCCAGTTAGTTAGAAGAGCTTAACTGAAACGTGGAATTACTGAACAGAAAATTGGTTGTTTTACCTCAAAATGCTGCCTCGATATTATGATGATAATTCTTTTTGCAACAGTTCCTTCTTCCTGCTAACTGCTATCTTGATGCTTTCTCTCCTTTTCCTCTGCCTTCTTGTGATGACAACCACATCTTCCCTGCGTCTTTTCTTCTTCCTTTCAACACTTTTTGCATGCTTAAATTGTGGTCTCCCCTCTGACTGGTTCCTTCTGGTAACTGAGCCCCATTCCTCTAGTCTAGCCTTTGCTTCAGAAGCCTCTCTCTGCAAAAGTACTTACTAACCTGAATTGTGTATAGTATCCAGCACCTGCTGACAATGGAAACTACAGATACTAATCTGGAAACCAGAAAAAGGAATTGTAAGTGGTTTTATGCTTTACCACGTAATCTCACTGTTTTAGGAAACAGTGTTGGCCACTGGCTAGAATGCTTCACTGGGTTAATCAATCTGGGTTTTTTACCTCATAAGAGATATCTGACTGGGCTTATGTTTCCTCATCATTAGGAAAAAAACCCCAAAGATAATCCTGGAAGATCTCTGAAGAGAGGGTATTTAAAAAAAAAAAAAAAAAAAAAAAAAGTCTATATTATTTTGAATACAGTTTAGATAAATATACTATTTCTAGAAATCTGCAATCTGCTGTACAAATTCTGTTGCTCTGGTTGAGACTAGCAGTCATGCAATTTTCAAGATAAAAGCTCTCCATAGAAAAGCTGAGCAATCTCATGTCACTGTTTCATTGCTGAGTTTCAGATCAGAGCTCTGTTTCTAAAGGGGTGAAGATTTTTATTAAAGTGAATTTCAGTTCATTTGCACAGTGCTATAAAATGGTAACAATTAAACAGGTGTAGTAAACAGGTAAAATGCTGCATGCAAACAGCTTTGATGAGACAGAGTGTTTAAAATTCAGCATCAGATTTTCTGTAGTCATCCTGTGAGAAGAAAAAGTACTCTTCACTCAAATAAGCTGTTATGTCTTTGCAGTTTTTAAATCCAAATTTCCGTCATTAATGGTAATTTTTAAAAATGAGTACACTGGCAACTTTCCACAAGTATTTTTCACCTCAAGCATTAGAGTTCCTAAGCAACTAGTAAATGTTTAAGAAAAAAAGAAGAAGGGACAATGACTTACCATATATCTTAGGGTGAAAGGGATGGCTTGGATTAATGCTAGAGCAACGCTAAACTGATTTTCAGTCACGAGAAGAAGTTCAAAACCACCTCTTCCTGCATGAAGAAGGATGTAGCAGTTTGAAAAAATCTAGCAAACAAATCTGTTTTCATTTAAAAAAAATCAAGGAGCAGTTCTCTTTTTTCTAAAAATAAAGGTCATCAGATGTTACTTTTCTAATTCTGTGAGATGTGCAGAGATGTTGAAATTTGGAGGCTCCTCCTAGGAGCTGAACTCACGGTTTCAGAAACCACAGCTGTAGTTTTGGAAAAAGATTTTTATATTGTTGATTTCTCTTTTCCATTTAGCTAACCTTTTTGAACCAAGAACAATTTACATGAGGTTCATCCCTTTACATTTCTCAGTCATTAAATTTCTTTTATGATTTTTGTCCCTGAACAAAAAGTGGAGCTTTTGAATGAAGCTTACACTTCTGAATAAACAGAATTACCTGTGCTCTCTATTGGCTTGCTCTGAATTGCAGTCCTTGTATTTCAGGAGTTTTGGTTCTATTTTTCTCTAACCTGTTTTTTTGGACTGTGTTTTTTATTTTAATTAGTCTATATAGTGAGTCTGACCTTTTAAAACAACACTGTTATTTTTTGGAATTAAGCTTCAGAAAAGGCTGATAGAATCTGATTTCTTATCAACTTATTTCCTTGTGGCTGATTCGTGTGACTTTTAGAGTTAAACTGAAGTTGCACCGTGAGCAGCTTTTTAGATCCTTCTTAGACATCAAAGAAACCACATAGGACAGGTACAGAGAAAGCAAGAAAGAGACGATGCATTATCAGATGCCTGAGAACCCCTGAGAGAGGAACCCCGAGAAGGTACCTAATAAAGTGCAACCCCCTGTCTCCCCGTGACATGTCTTTGGAGGGTTCTGGAGTATCTCATCCTATCAGCCTAGTGAAGGCACTAAAGGATGTCTTTTCTGCCCGCAGTCCTCAGTATCCTTAGACGATTTTAAAATGCCAAAAGCCCAATGGACATCTTGTTTTGGACGCTGCCATTCCGTAATGGAAGTCAAGGGAATCACAGCTTCTGAGTTACATCTCAGATGTAGGGGGGAGATAGTAAAAAGTGAAAAACTCAGCTTTTTTTCCTTGACAACCTTTCTTTGCATGGGGGAGTAATCAAGGTCTTTATTCTATACGTACGATACATTTTTAGATTTTTCTCTTCCTTTTAATTTTCTCTTCCTTTTTTCTCTTCAGCTGTTCCAATAAGCTCTCTAAGGGCTGGAGTCTCAGGATTAAAACTAATGGCCACTGTAGGTTATTCTAAGGTATGTTTGCACTACCTTACTTGGTGGACTACATTAGACCCCCTATACAGTCAGAGGAAAGAGCTGCTTCTAAAAATGTTTCCACTACACTTAAATCATGCTCCTAATTGCTGCCAAACTTTGCTGAAAAAAAACCTTCACTTTTATCAATTCTTATAATTCTCAGGTAAGTTATTATATAAATTAATTTTTCAATGTATAAATCCTGAACAGTCTACATATTGAAATTAACAAGATATTTTTAGAATTTCTTTCTGAAGCCTGCTTCACTGTTCTCTGTTTGTTACATGTCAGGGAATTTACAGGAGACTCAAACCTATTGTAATCTCACTTTGTATGAACATGGGAAACAGTCTCAAACCCATTATTGGGCTTGCCAGTTTTTCATCAGGTTCTGATTCTGAAATACGCTCTCACAACACTCGTCTGAAACATTTGAACTAACAACAACAACTTAAAGCTAAGACCTGTATTAGGCTGGTCTTCAGAAATAGTCCCATGTTCCTACAAATTGCCATAACACCAAACCAACTCCTCCAGCATTTTAAGGAAAAAACCAGCAAAACCAAACTGTAAAACCTCTCATTTTAACAAGACTTTTACTAGCTTCTATTTGCAAACTTAAAGAAATATATATTTGCTAATCTGACAGGGTAAGGCGGTATCAGGATAATGCATTGGCTTTATTAATCTGTTTGGTTTTGTTGCTTGCAGCTTTTCGTTCTCGTAGCTCAGTCAGATCAGCAAATGTAGCTGGGTATTTCATTTACTGATTAGTGCTGTAAAATCGCAGAGGGTGTTGAACACCGACAGAGGGCCTCTGCCACTCACAGTTATAGCAGCAGACTGCTGCTTTTGGTCTGCTCACCAGCTGGATTTTACAGATGGATGACAGACTCCTCACAGAGAGCGTGGAATAGCTATGACACTTTGCAGCCCAGATACAGGGACACTGTGGCAGCAGGTGCCTGGACTGTGACTTTATTAGCAGCACCTGCACGATGCATTCAATTAGCTGTACACCAGCTGCAGACAAGCAGAGCAGCTGGCAAGTCAGATTTGATCAGATCTTCCACGTGGCTGTAGGTGAGTCCAGGCCCCTTGTGCTGTTTGCTGGGCACTGGGCTGCTGGTGGTCTGTTGTTCATCAATGCTGCTAGGATGATCTTTCTTTTGTCTCCGTCTCCACTCCTCTACACACCTCAGTTGCTCTCGATAGGCCACTGCAGGACTTGATCTCCCAGCCAGTCTGAAGCTCCATCACACCAGCCCAGGACTGGCCATCTTGCTGCTGTATCTTGTCCTCCCTGCTGCCTACAGATTGCCTCCATCTAGTTTGTGTGTCAACACTGAGGAGTGGACAGTGCAATTAGCACATCCATTGTTTCAAGTCAGATTTTTTCAGCTTTTCTCAGTTTCTTGTCCAGCATCTCTGTGAAAAAGTGCACTGCTCCTTGCCGTGAGCTACAGCAGATTTTAAGAACCTTTACCTGTACATGAACCTCATAATTTCAGGTAGAAATTGAAGCTATTGTTCAATAATAAAAGGAATATTACAGTGGGTTGATACAGCTTGTAATTTTACCTATTATGGGTTTACTTTCAGAGATGAGTAGGAGTTAAGTTTAGTGGTGTGATACTCATTCCCTCCGTCGTAACATTCCTGGAATGGTAGTGGGTTTTGTTCCTTACCCGTGGGGCTCAAGTTGATGTACTCAGCAAGTATGCAGCCATGTGCTCTGTCAAGTCAAACTGCATTTGTGAATCTCTTCTATCAAGCAACGGATTCTATGATTCATCTTCAGAGTAATCGGGCCATCACGCTGAAGTATCCAGTACCTAGGTGATATGGCACTCTCGCGAGGAGATGTCATCATTTATATGAAGTCTACACCAGTACTGAAATGTCTACTAGGACACATACCAGATACTCACATAGCAGTGTGATATACGAATTTCATCAAGCAGAATTATGGGTACAGAAATTTGAAAATCCAACTATCAATTTCCATTCAATCTTGCATTGCCTGAAGAAGAAAGACGGGGGAAAAAAGGCCTGGAACAGAATGGCAGATACCTTTCTTAGAGATGCACGATGTGATAGTGCACAACACTCTTATCAGTCTGTAACTACAGCAAAGCAGATCATCCTTTTCATCTGGAGAAGAGGTCTAATGAAGACATGTGAGCACAAACTGGATGCATTTCTTTTTCCTTTGGTTCCCCCAATTATATCTCATTCTTATATTCACAAAATCCATGTCCAATTTAGGTTAGTATTAGCATAAACTTTATTTCATCAGTAATAGTTAAACGTCTTTGCTTTGAAGAGGCTGAATAAAGACATCCAGCTAAAATGACTTTGTTGGTTAGGGTTTTGTTGTTTTTTTTTCTTATCAGGCTTTTATTTCAGTCTTTTCAGTTTTTGTGAACAATCTTTTGATGCCACTGTACAATCACCCAATCTTACATCTGTAAGGTGTATTCTTTTGAGGAAAAAGGGGTTAAAAATGTGTGCCACACCCTAAGATTTCTGTCATGGAGACTAGTAAAATAAAAAAACAACAACAATTTTGCACATTTCACAGGTTTGAGGAAACTAGGTTACAAAAACAAACTCTGGAAGACACAAGCATTTCTAATCTGGATTAACGCTACTTCTTCACATGATTGTTTACTGGCAGGGTTTTTTCCTCACTGTTATTCTGTTTTCTGTTTGTTTCTCTCTTCTAAATGTTGCATGTACATAATTATCCATTGCAGCACATATTAATTCCCTTGTTACGGTGTTATTTTTGTTTTGGCTTTCCACAAGCTGTTCTTACTGAACTAGCTGTGTTTCCTCATGCAGTGAGGAAGAAGAGAGCATTGCTTCCTTCTACCATTTTTATCCAGGATTATGATGTATGCTGACATGTTTTATACACAAAGGGTTATCATAGTACAATAGGTTTTACTTTTGGGCCATAGCTATGCGTTTCGCAAATTTTCAGTTCTCAGAATCTCATTTTTACATAGGCCTTTAATTCTCACACTTTGCTGTTTTCAGGTACATTTGTACTATGTAAATTCTAGGTCTAGGGGTGCTGTTGGGGCTATCTCAGCTATGAATTGAAAATATTCCTCACTGTACAAGTAAATTCTGGACCCTTGATCAGGCAGGCTGGGAAAATGACACACCAAATGTCTTCCCAATGGAAAGCAGGTCACAGAAAGGATGAACAGAGTATGTACGACAACAAAATATGTGCCAGGATTTAGGAACCAGAAAGTACTTTTGGGTGCCAAAGATTAGATGTAATCTAATTGTCCATACCTCATGAGAGCATCCCTGCAAGTTATGTCCAAATGGCTCCTTTAATTCCGTCCACTTGGTTTCCATTCAGTTCAAAAAGTCTGGTACCAGCATAGGTTTTGTTAGTGTTGTATGGTTAGTGTCCTACTGGCACAACCTTGTAGACAGTTCTGTGAAGCTGATCATCACTTGAAAGTTTGTGCAGTTTTGCATTCTGGTTCGGTATTCTGGCCCCACCTTCCCTGGATCAGTCATTTCAGACTTAAAACACTCAAACCAAGAGTGTTCTCACTGTCACAGGAATTACAAAACTGACTGGCAGTTATACCAACTTATACAACATTTCTTTTCCCCATTTCTTGAATGAAGTACAACTACTAATATGCAAGTGTCACCAGAATATGGGTACAAAGCAATGTCTTCACCTCTTATTTCTACACAAACATCCTTCTTTGTTTTGGCCTGGCAGTCTCTCTTGCCTAAATCTTTTAACATCCTGCTTAAAGTATTTATCTCTGAACTTCCCATTACTTTGCTAATACTTTATTAGCCTCTGTTAAAGGTAATAAAGTCATTCTCTTGTGTTTTGCCACTACCTTTTTCATATTTATCCATTTTCATCTATTTCTTTTCCTCTTCCTTTATATGCCATTTACCTTTACCTTATCTAAAATATGTACACATAAGGTCACAGTTGAGTTAACAGCAAGAAAGTCTTATGACAGGAACATCCCTATGCACTGGTTACCAGAAGTTTCACTGTTTCTATTTTTGTTCATTATATACTTACCACAGACAAGCCAATGATTATAAATCTGGTGGTTGGTTATGAGAACTGCTCAGCGCTCACCAATGCCATATATGCACTTTTGCTACATTTCCTTTTGCCCCTTAGGAAGTCTGCCTGACAGTTGGCAGTTCTCTTTTGCTGTGCAGGGCATTCCTGCCCATGTGCTTCTGAACATGTGGCAGTAGCATCTCCGAACAGGAAGGTCAGACTCCATCCTGTCCTGTGCATAGACTAAGTGGTTTGATTGGTTTCAGGGCTGTGCATATATATTTGTCTATGGCACTTGGGCATTCTTTTCATAAGCATGCTGCAAGCCCAGTCAACACATTCAACACATTAACACAAGACACACAATACACACATCAACACATCAACACATTCAACACATCAACACAACACACATCAACAACTTCAGAAGCTCAGTGCCAGAACTGTTGAGCTTAACAGTTTTCACTTAGCTGTTCAATATTTGTTGTAAAGAAACAATTTACTTGTAGTGTTCATAGAGCTCCCGTCTTGAATCTTTTTGGTGTTCTGGTGCTACTTGTACACCTCCCAAATGCTTGCTTTTGTTTCCTCAATGTCTCACCAGAGCAGCTCAGATGGGTCCCAAGCACTGCAGCGGTTCTTCCTTGTGTTAGCTATGTCTGTGCTGTGACTGCAATCCTGGTGTGCCTTGCCATTTTCTTAACATACCTCTAGTTCATTGCATAGTTTCTGCTTCTCTAGTTCTTACGTACACAGTGGCTTCATCTCAATGCTTTTCCTTGCAGAACTTGAGCTATGGAATATTTGTCTCCCATATGTAAATTTTCCCCCACTTCTCTGCTGAGGTGACTTGTGCTCTCTTTCATGGGGACTGGAGATCTTGTTAAACCTTCCCCATGGGTACCTCCGACCCACTATGACCAGACTGACTGAAATCCTGCTAGCCTAATTTGGAGCTACCTGCTGCTTGCTACACCATGTTGCGGCCCCATCTGACTGATTAAGACTCGAAATCTACCACAAAACTATCTAGAGCCTTGCTTGTCTCGGAGCCTTGCTTGTCTCAGCGCAAAACTACAATAAGGACCAAGGATTATCCTGCCTGGGTTTGTAACATAACAATAAACTACTCTTCAGGATTACTTTGTGTTCCTGCCAGCACAAAATAGGAAACGAAAATCAGAAAACAAAGGCAGTGGGTATAGAATTTAAGTTATCCCATGGTGGAGAGATGAAAACAGTGTGCACGGGAGAGGAGGAGGAGTGGATCATAGGCTGAAAAAAGGAATTGGGACAGTGGAAAAGGGAGAATGACATGGTAAAGCGGAAGTTCATTTCCATATTGGACTTTGAATGCTTAAAGCTCCTTAATGCATAAATCTTGGGAGAACTTGGCTCCCCACTTTGCTGGGGTCACTCTATGCAGTGCAAGGTGATCTGAAATTAACTGCAGAAAGTCTATAGAGAATCCTGTCTTTATCCCAGTATTAATAACGCACAATCTTTTATTGCCCTCCTTTATTTCTCTTCTTCCCCTGTTTATAACATATACAGCCCTGTTTCTCCAAATTTAATCCATCTAAAATCTGGGGCCCCAGAGTTTTTCCAAAGCTATTATAATGCGCTCTTTGCAAGCTTGTGGGTAGATAAAAGCTGTGCCAGCTACAGTAGCTTCTGGACTGGGCAGACAGTTCTCCGCTTGATCAGTTTGGTTTCTTTTGCTGGAGTGTGGTATTGTGAGTGTTTCAATCCATGGTTGCAAGTTTTTGCAAACTGCATTCTGAGGGCAGAGCTGATGCGTTTTGCTTACGGAGGAGAACATGGGCAACTGGTATACGTTGTATTTCAGACACAGATTTTATTAATTTCACTGCATTAACATGAAAACAGGAAAAAAATAATAAGACAAGAATTGAAACACAGCAGTAGAAATACCATGGTTACAGCAGGATTTTTATCACACTGAACTAATTTATGCTTTAATATTAAAAAGGTGCTTCCACTTTAGTGCAGTAAAAAAGTACAAAAGAAAGGAAAAATACTATTTCCAAGGAAGAAGGTTTGCTGTGAGGATAATTTTTTGTCTCTTCTTTAGTCTATTTGTGGCTATTAACCTGGAAAGGTAGTGGACAGATTATAATAGCTGATAGGATAAAAGCTAACAACTAATAGAAGCTATGCCTCGATGTTATAAGGCTAGAGGGGGAAGAGTATTTGCACCACTTAGATTAAGGCATCTGATACCTAATTTAAAAGCTTGGCTTTTCCAGGTTCCTTCTAAAGTTAGACAGGTGATCTTCCCCAGAGGCCATTTAAATTATATGTCTGCTTCTGACTCAGGTTATTTCTTTTTCTCTGCTGACTACTGAGGGACCTTGAAGAGATTTGCTGTTAATTTAGGCATCTGAATCTCATGCCTCATGTTAAGTTGTGTGCAGTCCCCTCTTGTGTCCTTATGTGGCCTGGAGGCTAGTTGAACCTGACCTTCCAGCTTTCCATGAGCAAGGCCTTACATGCATGTCCCTAGAATATCACTTTCTTTTCCAGAAAAACTTCTGACTAATGGACTCAAGTCTTGTGACTTGCAGATCTTTGCTGATGTACTTTTATTGGTTAAGAGCTGTTTTCCTTGGAGGGATATGATTTGTCAGAAACAAGCTCATGTATTTTGGGAGTGCGACGTTGCCTGGTTGTGCAGTCAGTAGACTTGGTATGCACAGTTACTTGCAAAATTGCACCCACAAAAATCACAGTGTTGCCTATTAAAATCCCACTTTGGAAAATGTTAACAACTGAATAGTGATATGGCAGGCATAAAATTAAAGGACTAAAATAAAAATACTCTAACTTACCCTGTAGTCAAAAGCATTATGTTTAAAAATGACTACTCTCTTAGCTAACAGATAAATCCTCGGGTTAAATGGCCCTAGTGAGATAACAGTCAGTCAACTCTACAATTAGAGGAGAGATATTATCTCAATATATCTCATATTCACTCTCAAATTCCTTTTTATGGAAACATCTTTTATTCGTATAGGGAAAATAAGGGTTATGGGGGAGAATGAAGAAAACTAAAAGCCTCCCCCTATCAAATGCCTGACCATGTTGCAAAAAGAATTGCTTCCAAATTGCTTCATTCATGTTGAATACTAAACAGGTGCATCAGTCCTCAAAGTTTCCTCCCAGTGTTTACCTTAAAATGTTCATATAACAGTAAATGGCTCTTGTGAGATGACATACTACTTTTTAGTCTCTTCAATACTGAATTCCCCCCAGGTAAATCTCACTAGCATTTGCTGATCGGATAGAACTTGGGTCAAGAAAGAGAATCATACTATTCTGGGCTCCATTCAAGTCTTGATGTGATCCAGCTATGGTGTTAACATTTCCTGGAGAACTCACAGATTCTCTTAATTTAAGAACAGACAACGCTCTAACCCCAAGGAACAGTTAACAAAGAGAATTGAAGGTCATACAGTTTGCAGTAGCGGTTGATATATTAAATAATGTCAGGCAGTCCTTAAGGCAAAGCGAGTGATGAAACATTTACTAATGTTTTGATGTATGTTTACAGTCCAGTAGAGATGTCATGCTCTGCAGTGGATGGTGTGAATGCGGAACTAACTCTTTCTAATTTTTCACGATAAAGATTTGGACATTTTTTGCAGAGGTGGGCTGCAACATGCTTTCGGAAAAAGGCATAAAGATATTTCCTAAATTTTTCTCCAACAAATGCATAGATCACAGGATTGATACAACAGTGGATCATTGATACTGTTTCTGTCACTTGAATTGCTTTCTCCAGTCGACTTTTGATTTCACAATTTGAGTTGAAAAGTAAACCTTGAAATGTATGCAAAAAAGAAGAAATATGGAATGGTGTCCAGAAGAGGAAGTAACAAATCATGATCACGAAAATAAGTCTGACTGCTTTCTGTTTTTTCTCATTCTTGCATCTCAATAAGGTTTTTAGAATTCGTGAGTAACTGAAAATCATAATAAGCATCGGAACAATAAGTCCCAGAATGTTCATCTTTAAAATATAGGAGTACTTCCAAAATATTGTGGCATCGGTTGGATAATGAGCACTGCAAGTACAACGTGTACTTTCCTTTTGAGTTTTGTGAAACACCATGCCAGGAACGGAAGCCAAAATAGCAACCACCCAAGTGACAGCGCTGGTGAGGATGCCATAGGTAACTGTCCTAGCTTTTAAAGCAAACACCGCATGCACTATGGCCAGGTACCTGTCGAGGGTCAACAGGATTATGAAGAAGATGCCACTGTAGAAGCCAAGGAGGTAGACACCTGAGAGAATCCTGCACAGTGCCTCCCCAAAAATCCAGTCATGAACAGCATAATAAGCCCAAAAAGGGAGAGAAAATATAAACAGCAAATCAGAAATTGCCAAATTGAGCAGGTAGATGTCAGTCATACTCTTCAGTTTCTTGTATTTTACCAGGATAAGGACAACGAGCATGTTGCCTATGAAGCCAAATATCACCACCAAAGACTCTTGTATTCTATCAAGATAAAGACAACGAGCATGTTGCCTATGAAGCCAAATATCACCACCAAAGAGTAAAGCGGGGGCAAAAGTTTTGCTGCAGTGTTCTTCTCCTCAGTGCCTGGGCATGGTGCTGAATCACCATAGTCAAATTCTGTCGTCACTGGCCAGTCATCCAAGTCTATGGTTTGGTTTTCCATGGTGTGTTAGTCTGGGAAGAAAGAAACGAATATTAAACTAGAGGAAACACCAAGCCTGGCAGGGAGGGGAATGAAACACACTAATGTCCTCATCTGGAATGCTTTTTGCTGTTGAGCACGTCAGCATTACTGCATCAAGATACGGAAGCAAAATGAACTTGCGGAGCTCCCAGGAAACCCCTCTTTATGCCTGTGAGGTCACGCTGCTGCAGGTTGGAGGTGCACCGCGTGTCATTCCCTATGTGTAGCCTGCCTGGTGCATTTTTCCTCCTCAGTAGAGCCTGCCAGCTGCCTGACCCAACCGGGAGCAGAGGAAAGATGAATTGAACCTGAGCAGTGGGTAGTTTGGGGCTGTTGAGCTCAACCGTGGCTTTCTCAAGGGGTGGAGCAAGGCAGCAACAGGCACGCAGAGCATAGCCATGCTTCTGTGCTTGGGACCTGGCCACCTTCTCATTGGTGCCAGCCTGTACTGTAGCCCTTGTCCAAGGAGGACCAAGCACTGGCAAGGTGTCAACCAGGTGCCTGCAAAGGCTTCTGAGATGGGTAAAACAGTTACTGAGTGCCACTTGTTTAGGTTGTTGATGATTTACTGGGAGCTACTTAAACATGATAGTTATTAATAACTGGTATTTACACAAAATATTAAAGTCTGCAGAGCTGAATGAGTTCTGCAAGTTCCCATCAAAACCCAAGCGTAATTCATCAGGATCTGAAGAGAGACCCTAAGGAGGAGGTGTAGGCTGCTCAAACCAGGCATCAACAAGTACATCTGAAACATTTTATCTTCTTGATAGTTTAAACAGCAAAACGGTGACAGAGTGGAGAGTAAAAACCCATTTTCTCATCCTCTAGCCCCACTTTAATACTACCTCCATAACTTGCAGATAACAAGCTAAGTACAGGCAGAAGGCACAGAGCTGTATGTGGCATTACCACACATAACCAGGATTTTTATTATGGTCAATGGAGGCGTAGAAACGACCTTTGCACAGTACTAAACATACCTGCCTGGTGGACCTCCACTCCTGGGTGTTGCCGAGCAGGAAGCCGGCAGTGTTGGTCTGGGTTAAAATGGCAAACGCTGTGTCCTTCACAGAGTCTGTGTCATGCACAGGCCATGGAAGTGTGCTGGTCTTGGGTAGGTCTGGAATGAAAACGGTTCACAGTCCTGTAGAGAGAACAGAAAGGCAAACACCTTGGCAAATGGCATAAAAGATGACAGTTGCTCTCAGGGTGGCCTAGGACACCTGTGTCTGTTGTGGCATCTTCCTGACGATTGAAAGACCTCCCCAGTGCTTGGGGATGAAAGAAGTTTTGATTCCTTGTTTCAGTAGCTGTTTATCAGCCGTGATTCAGGAACTCGAAAGTTCAGATTGGCTCAGTGTCTTGGAGGGGACACAAAGGCAAAAGGCAAATACGGCCATCGCTAGGAGTGTGCACTAACAGTTCTTCATCTGCTGTGGTTGTTCGATTCTGTCTGCCGTCCCCTCCTCTGTAAGCCAGCGTTTCCAGTGAGGTGACAGAGGAATTGAAGAAGTGCAAGAGTTGCCCAAACTCCCTGTCCCTCCCGTTTTGTTTTGGGGACTGTTGGAGGGAGCGGGCTTCTCTTGTACAAAGGAGTCACAGCCTGGGAGCTAAGTGTGCAGGTTAAGGTTGATGGTTATGAAATCTGCATTTTGCTGGCCTCTTGATGACTGTTGTCTAGACAAAGGCAATGGACTGCCCCAGCTTCCTCTGTGATCCCTGACCACTCCCAGTAGTGCAGCAATGGTTGCTCCTTTCCTGCTTACAGCCCCGCCGTGCCCTTTTTTCAATGGGCGTTTGTGTGATTGCAGACGTCTTTTGCAGAGACCACATTCTCAAAACCACCACTTCATTCTCTCTGCACTTGATTTCTGTAAGACTAAATGTAACTGCATGCAGCCATCAGTGCCCACCGATCTGCCTACACACCCAGTTTCTGCATGTACAGGGTAGTTTTGATTACTAGCAGAAATTCTGGATGATTTCTGCAAAAGCGAGCAACTGAGTCAAACCTAAGGTACAAATATAAGAGGAGAACTTTCTCTTTGGTGCCTTCCTTCTCTTCTAATTTGTCTTGTGTGCTTATCATGCAAAAGCATCTAAATATATGAATAGTCCAATAAGAGGCTTCTCTCATTTCCCCTTGGAGGACTGGTCATGTTCTGAGTCTCCAAGATGCTGGGTACAGTGAAGTGTGACCAAGCCCTGGGCCAAATGCCTATGTCCTGGGAAGGAGTTAGAATCATAGAATCGCATAGGTTGGGAGGGACCTTCCAAATCATTAGTCCAATCATCAAAGTTCCTGCAGAGAAAATGGGGTTACAGCTTGGATGGGAGAAAATTTTATTTTCTTATTAAATTGTAATTTTGTGAGCCAAAATAAATGTAACAAAGCTGCACTTATGGCAACATCGGAGATTCTTGTAATGAGGATGTAGGTCTGAATCATGTCTTTTCAGATTTCTGTATTTCGGCTGCTTGAGGGAAGCGTTGCTGGCTCTTGAATGTTAGCTATTTTCTATAGTATGTCGCCTTCAGCTATGGAAGTGTCCAGGTGCTGGTATGACTATCAGACATTTCTGTTTTAGAGCAATTGAAGCAAAGAGGCTCCTGAGTTGCCACATTGACTTATTCAGAGATGGCAGTTGTCACAGCTCAATGAGTCTGCTGTGCCCTAATGGGGATTTGGACAGAGTTTCATCACAGAACCCAGAACATTTGATGCCCACACGTTAGAAGAGCATCCATGCATTAATGGAGCTGCTTATCTCAAAACTGAGTGACCCCCAACTTTTACAGTCTAAGATAAGGTTTCTCTTTTGAAATGCATGAATTAGTAATGCAGCGCTACTCGCCCTGCCCTCACTCTCCTCCTTTTCACAAATGGTGGTGTTTGTCATACAGAAAAAGAAATTGCTTAATGACTTGTAGTCAGCTTAAAATTATGTGTCAGCAGCATCTGGGGCACTTTATGAAGAAAGAGAAGTACAGTGTAGCACAGAGTAAAACTGAAATTTAAATGAAGAAAAAATAATAACCTATATCCTGATAGCAGGTGTTGCAAGACAGATGCCCAATGTTTCATGGTTACAGCTCTATCTCTTTAACTTTGCCTTTGACTTTCCAGAAGGAGTCTGTGAACAGGCAAAACTGCAGAAAAGAGTGTCCACAGACACCAAAGACATCTTGGGGAGCAAGTGTAAAAGTGTGTACTTGAATTGCCAAGAAAGCTGAAGGGAAAGACTGAAGTGTAAATTAAATGTTGTATCTAAGACTCTAAGCTGATAGTTGCTCTCAAACACATCTTTTCATGTGGTCGTGTCCACAGGATCTCTTCCAGGATATCAGTGAGGAAAGATAGTCCCTTCCAAAATTAAACCTCGCTTTGGAAACCTCTTCCTCTTTTATAACAGCTGAGCATTAGAAACATCTCTTCAAAATTGCTTGCCTCTAACTGACGAGGTTTTTTCGTTCCTGCAGATCTTTCAAGGAAAAATATCTTCTCAGCGGGAGAAAACAGGCTTAATTCTCTGAGAACCCTTGGTATACAGTTGTTTCCATTCCCCACCAAAACCAGAAAGACAGTCTTGCAAAAATTCTGAGCTTTTCTGCAGTTGAGTCAGTCTATGTGGTTATAAGACAAAAGAAGTAAGAGATTTTCTTACCTAAAAAAATGTACTGTAAAAGAGTAGCATAAGCACTGAAGATCAGCACGCAGAGAAACTTGAGACAACTATTAAATGTCTTCCTGCAAATTCATGACTATATGTATAAGCGGGTTCATTTTTTGTGTAGGCTAAGAAGTCCTGTGCTAGTATCTGTTCAAGGTTTTTTTTCAGTGTCTCTGCTTAAACTGCTTCACATGAAACACTGAATTCAGAGTAATTCAAACAACAGTTGTAGTCACAACCATTCTGGGGATGAACTTGAGTATGAAAAAGGCAGCCTATGGTCTGGAGTGGAGATTGCCAACATATGTCATAGGATCTTGCCCCTGTCATGTTATTGCTATAGGGGTCTCCACACACAGGAGTTCAAGCCCACTGCCCTGGCACTGTCAACCGTTCTTGGCAAATGACAGCAATTCTCCTGTGAGAGTAAATGTTGCCATAGCTGCATATTTGATATACTACCAAAAAGTTATATATCTTCTTAGGCTATTGTAGATTTTTGCCAATACCCAAGTGGCAAGTCTCATTTATCCAAGCAAAGGAGCTCACCTCTCCTAGTGTGTGAGAATAGTACAATTCCAGTGTAGTACTGATTAATTTTTTTTCATGTAAAAGTGCATTAACAAAATTTGCAAGCCAGATCATGACTGACCATAAAACTGATATCTCTAGTTGAGGTTTTCTAATGTGGTGGCTCAGAGACATCACATTAAAAAGGAGGAACCAATCCCAAAGAACTTACCCCTTCATAACATTATAATGAAACCATGCCTTTAACAGATTAAATTCTTGAATAATACAAAACCACCATCAGATAGGATAGTGATGAAGAATGTCTGCCTTCTGCATCTAATAGAGCAAGATGTGGTTTAGATTTGGAGAGATAAGATTAAGTGGGAAAGATTTCATATCTGCTCAGTTCATATCCTTAACTGAATACATTTTCAAGCTACTGACCTCCTGGAACAGCTTCAAAGCCAAGACCCAGTAAGTTTCTAGTACAAAAAAGATAATTTTCTACACCATTTGTCCAATTCAATTCTCTACTCTCACATTTAGCCTTATCCTGAGTTGTAAGGTAGTTACAAGACACAATTGTTCTTATAGGTAGTGCCTCTGCTTGAATGGTAGCTCTATTGGCACTGTCATTAGGCACATATACTTTCCCACTGAGTGATTCTATATATCTATGTATCTATATATCTATATATCATATCTATATATACACATTTACGTGTAAAAGAAGGGAAAAAAAATAGCTACTTACTGATTATCAAGCTTGTTTTGTCTGACTGTGTCGTCGTCGTCTTCTTTGTGAACTAACACATAGTTAAACCCTATATCTGAAAATAGGAAACAGCACTTCCTGTGTGATCTATTGCAAAACATTAGTATAAGAATCAAGGGCATGGTTCTTCTTTTCTGAAAATGCTCAGTTTTCAGGTTGAGTTCAGAATGGAGGCATGAAGGCTTTGGGCATCTGCTTGTTCTGGACAAGCTGGAACTGGAGCAGTCAGTATCTGAGCTACTACATCTCTACTGGGTTATTAAATCAATTTCTAGCTGCTCTAGACACTTCTGCAGCTCAACAGAAAGTGAGCATACAGAATGTGTGGTTTTAAAATTATATTCAGGTCACCAAAATAACCGTTGAAACAACCCCACCAAGGTATTCTTCATGTTCATTGTCACTGACTAATTTCTACATAATTTCTACATGGTTCTCCCTTTCATTATCACTAGTGAAAAAGAATCTGTAAGCAAAATTAGGATGCGTTTATACAATGCAAAGCAGTGTCATGTTAGACATCATCACACTTACCTTAGGTGAGCGTTGTGAAGAGAGACGAGTCAAGATCCAGAGGTTTTGGAGCTAATTAGGTCAGGTAGAGCACTGTGCTGGTAGAGCTACCTTCTTTCCAGTTACGTGACCAGCTCATGCAGTCTACACCACAATGTACCATGTGGTATAGACCCTCTCCCTCAACATATATTGCAATTTTTGCAAAACCATGATCTTACACTTGCTAAGAGACTGTGTTATGAGACAAGCTGGAACCTGCAGTTCATTCCCTTTTTGATGTGGTGACTTTGCAGGATTGAAAGCAATAGGAAAAAAGAGATTAAAATAACAGAAAGTAGTTAAAATATGTTTTTTCTTCAAAGGCAGGAAGCATAATTGAGTGTACAGTCTGGTGTTATATTTTTTTAAAACATTCACTTCACCAATGCCATTGGCACTGCAGCTGCAACAGCCTCCAGCTGTTGGAGTGATAACTGATACCTATGTAACTGATTATTAAAAAACAGGACTGATGAATAATAAGACCACTTATCTGATCCCTGAGGAGTCTTTTTACAGTTTTATAGCAAGTTATAGGAAGGCTACATTTTTCAGCTTCGCAGGTTTTTGGCAGCAGCTGTTGACCCTTTTCTCTAAGACTGCTGGGTGGTTTCCTGCAGTATTCCTGAAAAGCTGTAAGACTGGCTTGTGCTGCAATTATAGCTGGATTTTTTCATTTCCTAGAAAATCTATGTGGGTTTTTAGTAAAACCAGTGATATATAACCTGACCACATCTGTTCCAGAGAGTATAAGACTCACATAGCTATTTCAGAAGGACCACCTAAGGAAGGGATTAGGAAGAGCAATCTCTTTGGTGGCTGAAAGATCATTAACATTTCCTGTTGATCTGGAAGGGGCTGTTTAGATTTTTCTGTAAATATAGACTGCAAACCACTGAAAACCTTCAAGTCTGAGCAGAAAGGACCTTCCCTACAGGGACACGGTAGATAACAGGGAGACACAACCCAGATTTTCTTTCTATTTCATCTCCCTCTGAGTTGCTGTCTGAACAAGTTTGCTTGCAAGTTTCTTTTGTGAACTGCTATGCCTGGAAAAGAAATGCTTGGCTTGCAGGATCAAAAATCCTGCCAAAGCCACTTAATTTTCCCTGCCCCTCAGAAAGAGGGGCAGTCACCTGGAGAGGGGACTTGTCTCAGCTCTTGAAAGTGGGACTTCTTTGGAGTCCGTTGCCCAGAGATTATGGGTGGGTGTACAAGAAGTAATCCTCGCCCTCTTCTCTCCCTGTCTTGTGACACTGGGACTTCTTTCTGCCTTTTTCAGAGACTTTCTGGAGTCACCAAGCTCCTTGGTTTTGGTTGCTCTATCAGTTTGCCCAAGCAGGAGAGGAAAAAGACTTATATAGCAAGCTGCCTATGCAGACAGTACTTTCTAAACAAATGTGGAAAAAAAAATGTATACAAACCTGCAAACATCCATATATTGATAGAACTGCTAAAATTTTAAGTCTTTCAGGAATGGATAAATTCTTGTTTTCATTTTCTCTCTTAACAGACCAGTGCTAGGAAAGATTACAGAAGAAGTAATTCTTGGAAGACCTAAGTGATAGTTTCATAATCTTTGAGGTAAGCAGCAGTCTTGAGTTTGGCGTAATGGGTTTGGTGGATACTTTTCCTGGGGATTGAGTGACTCAGAACTCCTAGTTTGAGAAAAAAGCAGGATTTTGCACACATTGTTTTGAAAGAGTTTGAGTTCTTTGTGCCTCCAGTCTGGGTACTTAGATTGAAGAGAAGTGGACAGTGTTTTCAGGCTGCCTGAGCTCCAATCGCTCTGACCTTTGAAAATTAGGGACCATTTGTTTCCAAAATGGTAATGCAAATAGTTGGGAGCTGCTTCAGAAAAATTGATCAAGATTAAAATACAGGAAAAAAGAAAGATTCAAAAGATAAGAAATGTCTCATATTGGACACTTAATTTTAGGCATCTGGGACTACATTTTGAATTGTAGCTTTATTATTATATTATAGAAGATAGGGCCTGTTAGAAAGGACAGAGCCACCTGAAAATCCCTTTTTCAGGGGTGTTGGGACTCTGAAGAAATCCAGGAGAAATGAATGAAGTATTCATTGATCTAGAAAGCATGGCTGTGAGAAATGGGAAAGGACTAGATGATCTCTGGAGAGCTTTCTCAGACTTACTTTCTATGATTTTACTCTTAGCATCTTTTCTGTAAGGGTTTAGTGAGCTTTATAAACATTAACTAACCAAAAGAACTGCCTGGGAGATGGAAGCAGGGAAGAAAAGAGGACTTAAACTTCACCATGCAAATCAAATTCTGTAAACAGGGAAGTACCATTTGGTCGTATCAAAGGGAAGAATCAAAAAACTACCAAAAAAATCTGCAACAAAACTGTCTTACTTCAGTTGGGGCTTTCTACACTTTCTTCACAACACTACCACTGACAGAACTGAAGCAAGGGAACCAAACCATGATGTGCTTCTCTTACTCCATCAACTGCTGAATGTAAGAGAGAACTAGCTTTTCCTGACAATGATACTGTTGCCTTAAGTTTAGAATGTTATGTGGATACTGAAGTCAAGATGTGGGGATACACTCAGGGCACTGACATCATTTTACAAATTTCTCCAGAGGGAAAGGTAGAGTAGGAGACAGTTCCCTGTTGGCAAAAATACTGGTAAAATTACCAAGCAGATTACCTGAATAGAAGCGACTGGGCCTCAGCTGTATGCCACTAAGAGCATAGCAAAGATTAAGCTATGTCCTTGCAGTTCATCTAATATTCTAGACCTCCCATGTGGAAGGAGAAATGCTGATTCTAGTCACTGCGTCAAAGCATGTGTAAGAATTTTAGGCAAAGTAGGGCAGAACGAGGAGTGAAGGTGCATACCAATGGGGTTGCTTTCCCATTACTCTGGTGTGCTTCAGCCTGCCTTTCTATGGTGAAATTGGGCGAAGTAGGTGTTTTGTGTTGAAAAAGGCGTTCAACGAACATATTACTGAGTCCTGTTCAATAGACGGCTCTTGAGCATCCTCATACACAGTAGCCCTCAGCAGACATTTTGCTGACTGTCCTCAAGTTTACAGGGATGGGCATGTGGCAACTTTAGTTGAGCACAAGAAGGAGCACACAGGAGGACTTTGCAAGGTATCTTAGTAGGTAATTAATTCCAGACTCTTTCAAACTGAATGTTATAGACTGTAGGAATCATCTCTCCCACCCTTAGTTTGTATTCACCTAGCTAGTGTAAGGGCTCCCTCTATAGCCAAAGGAGAGAGGTAGGTATTTGCAGAGGGTAACTGCATCTGTCTTAAGCTATTCCACCTTAGGCTGGAATGAATCGCCATATGGAGGGGGCACGGGAAGAGCCTAGACATTGAGTTCAGACTAGACAGCTAACGTATACATTGATAAAACTGAGTTATAGCCCAATCAAATATTTCAGATAACCTGAATGAAATCTTTGAGAATTTCAGTGATGAGAAACTATTCTTTATTTTGGAAAAAAAGATCAAGTGAAATATTTTAAATTGGCTATTCTTTGGGGCTGAAGTGGTTTTTTAGCAGGTAAGCCTGATAATTCTGTCTACGTCCTTTGCTGAAGAGGAAGAGACCTGTGCTGTAGATCTAAAGACCTGTCCTGCTCATGACCCACTCAGAAGTAGGAACAGATTTATTGGGGGACTATGAAGACTGTATCCTGCTCATTCACATGAAAACTGTATGTGCTCACCATCATGTCACAGAAGTAAGGTTGCAAAGGCCATCCTCCTCTTCCCCTTCATCCTCATACCCATGCAGGTGTTCTAAAGGGTCACCGTGCTTTAGAAGAGGTAGGAAGATACATAAAAGCAAAACACAGTTTCTGTTGATGGCACATGAAAGTTGCCTCATCAGCTGCTTAGGTGTCATAGTACTTCCTCACAGCTTTGGGGCACTTCACAGAGCCTTGGAGAAGTAAGACTTGACAACTGAGATGTAAGTAGATCAGGAGTACAACATATTCTTAAGATATTCTGAGTTGCTCACAGGAGGAACTGCACAAGGAAATGCCAATGCAATCTGCCCTTCACATTAACCTCTTGAGTACACACATCATGATGCTTTGTTCAGTTCGCAGGAGCCGTCTTCCCAGCTGAGAGACTGGTTACTCGGGGTTCTTTTTATTGCACTTCACTAGTGTGCAGGACCAGGCCCTATTTAATGCACACTATGCTGACCCTTCTTGGACTGCAGAATTTTGCATGTCAGAATTTTGTCATGATCATGTCTCTAGTTCTGTTAGGGTAATATCTGATTGCTTCACAGATATTACAGTATTTGTCTTCTCACCAGATTTATGAGATGAATCAACACAGTTGTCTCCATTTTGTAATGAGGAAGCTGAAGTGCCAAGATTATGGATAACACTGTCAAGCATCTATTGATTTGAGGAACTTCATTTGTACACTGTTTTTCTCCAAAGTATTATGCAGGGACATAGTCCCTGTCTGTTGTAGCTGCTGGTTCTTGGTCTTCACATTGGGCCC